TGCTGAGGGGAGAGGAGCAGGGGGAGAGACCTTGTGCCTGCCCACGCTGGGCAGGAGCTGCCCCAGGATGGCAGCTCTGAAGCACTCCCAGCATGTCCCTGGCAACAGCAGGGCAAGACTGGATTTCCAAATCAGGCTGGCAATGCAAAGAGCAGGAGTGTCCTGGTGTCACTGCAGGAGAGTTCCAACTTTGCAGCAAGGGCACAGAAGAAGTGACCCAGTCCATGCAGTGCCCTCAGAAGGTCCCACAGCATCCTGGAGATGCTGTCAGGGAGGCCAGCTCTGCTTCACAAGTTCCCAGTGCCTGTCCCTGCCTGTGCTCAAAGGGCTCCCACCCCCAGGACTGTGCTTGGAGAGCACTCAGGCCTTGCAGCCAGAAAGGGGCTCACAAGGCCAGTGTGGAAGTGGAAAGAGCAGCTCTGCAAAGCCCAAGCTCTGCTGCTCCCTGGCAGTGCTGCTGTGCTGGGATTCTTGTCCCCTTGCCCTTTGCAAATCCCCCCTGTCCTGCAGTGTGCTGTCCTTAGGAACAGGTGAGAAGAAGGGTCTTGGAGAAAGAAGGCACTGCAGGGTCCTTTATTTTGTTTAAATACTCAGAGAGCACAATTCATCATTTTTACATCTCTGGGTAAATTTCAGTGAGTGGAAACTAAACTAGAAGGCAGATATGTAATTATATTTAATGGCACAGAAAAGTACTGAAAGAAGAACCCACAACTCAATAACCTCCCCAAAAAAACTGAGAAGGCAGGTCAGGCCATTAGTGAGCTTCATTCTGAATGCTACGTAGCAGAAACAAGGCAGTTTGATGCTTCTGAAAAGCATCCAGTTCTCATTTTCCTTATGGCATCCCTGAGCTCCTGGTTCCTCAGGCTGTAGATGAAGGGGTTCAGTGCTGGAGGCACCACCGAGTACAGAACTGACAGAGCCAGATCCAGGGATGGGGAGGAGATGGAGGGGGGCTTCAGATTGGAAAACATGCCAGTACTGAGGAACAGGGAGACCACAGCCAGGTGAGGGAGGCACGTGGAAAAGGCTTTGTGCCTTCCCTGCTCAGAGGGGATCCTCAGCACAGCCCTGAAGATCTGCACATAGGAGAAAACTATGAACATGAAACAACCAACCCATAAAAAGGTACTAAACACCATGAGCCAAAGTTCCCTGCGATATCCTGAGTGTGCGCAGGAGAGCTTGAGGATGTGAGGGATTTCACAGAAGAACTGGCCCAGGGCATTGCCCTGGCACAGGGGCAGGGAAAATGTATTGGCTGTGTGCAGCAGAGCATTGAGAAACCCAGAGGCCCAGGCAGCTGCTGCCATGTGGGCACAAGCTCTGCTGCCCAGGAGGGTCCCGTAGTGCAGGGGTTTGCAGATGGCAACG